AAAGATTTTACTTATTTATTTGAGAGAGAAAGCATGAGCAAGAGAGCACGAGCAGGGGGAGCAGCAGAGGGAGAGGGAGAAGCAGACTCTCCGCTGAGCAGGGAGCCTGATGTGGGGCTCGATCCCGGGACCCTGGGATCATGACCTGAGCTGAAGGCAGACGCTCAATGACTGAGCCACCCAGGTACCCCAGTACGTGCCCTCCTTAATACCCATCACCCGGCTAACCCATCCCCCCACCCCCTCCCCTCTAGAACCCTCAGCTTGTTTCTCAGAGTCCATCGTCTCTCATGGTTCCTCTCCCCCTCTGACTCCCCCCCTTCATTTTTCCCTTCCTACTGTCTTTTTTTTTTTAACATATAATGTATTTGTTTCAGGGGTACAGCTCTGTGATTTGTCAGTCTTACACAATTCACAGCGCTCACCATAGCACATACCCTCCCCAATGTCTATCACCCAGCCACCCCATCCCTCCCACCCCCCACCACTCCAACAATCCTCAGTTTGTTTCCTGAGATTAAGAATGAGGAGGGGGTGCCTGGGTGGCTCAGTCATTAAGCGTCTGCCTTCGGCTCTGGTCATGGCCCCGGGGTCCTGGGATCGAGCCCCACATCGGGCTCCCTGCTCCACGGGAAGTCTGCTTCTCCCTCTCCCCCTCCCCCTGCTTGTGTTCCCTCTCTCTCTGTCTCTCTGTCAAATAAATAAAATCTTTAAAAAAAAAAAAAAAGAATGAGGAGGTGCAGTTTTAAATAGAGGCCAGAAAAGGCCTCAGTGGGAGGCCTGGGGGAGAGGGAGCAAACTGGGTAGTAACCTGGAGGCAGAGCTTTTGAGATCCGGGTAGCACGTGCCCAGGCCGTCTGGAACAGACAAAGCCAGTGTGATGAAAGGAGGTGAGAAGGGGTGGTGAAGGCGTGGAGAGGGGCTGACCTTGGCAGCATGACCTGAGACCTGATCCTGCCATACTGGCCCTAGGGCCCTGAGTGGGAGGGCGGGGGTGGTGCCTGGGCGGAGGCACCTTGTGAATAACACAGAGACCTCAGGTTTAGGTGTAAACAGTGATGCAAGATGAGATTGGAAAGGCTGGTGGGGCAGGTGACAGGGTCTTGGAAACCGCACAGGAGTTGAGGTTTGCTTTCTTTTTTGGACAACAGGAAACCACTGTAGGTTCTTGAGCAAAGTGCTGTCCCAAACAGTGCAAGAGATTAGATGTGGGGAAACGAAAATCTTGGGATTTGAAGGACAGCTGGAGCAGGGCACGAAGGTGGCGGCAGGAAGCCCCGGGAGCTGATGGGCAGGTGGGGATGGGGCAAAGGGGAAATGAGGGGCAAAGAACAGGAGGGGTGGGCACGTGGTCTGAGACCTGAGGAGGCCAGCAGGGTGAAGGGTTGACGTGCGCGGGGTCCTGGGGGTTGTAGAAGCAGAAACCTCACCCACCGCTGGGTCTTCAGGGGGTTACTTTTTCAATGCACATTCACATCAAGTAACACATTTTGCTTCATCTCCCTAAATCAGGGTCACAATCCTTTATGCATTTGAGAAACAAAAAGTCCCCAAACAGTCTGAATTCAAGCAAAAGTTGCTCATTCAGGATGGGAACCCAAAATAATCTCATCTCAAATTTGGAGTTGAACGACAAACATGAGCAATGCCTTACCATTTAGACATATTTCAGGAATTGATTTTATTTTTGAGGTCTCTTCCCGTCAGATGTCACTTGGTGAAAACACCAGGGACCTGGGGGGAATTCCTTTCCAAGCCACAAATCTTGGTGACATCCAGGGGCAGTCAGATCCCACCACTCAAGGCTGACTCCTTGTGGGCCTGGGGCTGGAGGCAAGAATCTCACTACAGTCCACCCTGACGCCTTCCTTAGTGAAAGCTGGTTCTGTTTTTGTCCCAGCTGTAACTCATTCCTCTGTTCATGAAGTACCGAGTGCTCTATGTGTCAGGCACTGTCTTAAGAGGTAAGAGTTCTAGCCTGGGAGGGGGTCGTGTAATTCCTGGGAAGGGTAGCCAGGCTGGTGGGGGCTCCTTCCGGGCTTTCTTGTCATTGTCCTCCAACAGTATCAGCCCAGCTGGAGGCAGAACCTGTTGAGGGCAGACAGATGGTGGATTCTGAGACACCCCCGAAGCCCTGGAGACTCTAGGGGCTCCCTCCCGGCCTCCTCGCCTTCCCTGTTAATAGCCGCAATGTCCCAAGAGCCCCCCCCCCGCCCCCTGAGTGTCAGGTTGGTAGTGGTCCCGGAAGTTGTGGGACATTCTGTGGTCTCCGATCCTGGGGATGTGTATTCTCCAGGTAGGCGGAGGGTGAGAAAGGGAAGGAAGGTGTGGCAGTCCGCTCGATTCCTATCGGCCACATCATCTGAGAAGGGGAGGGCTCTGAGAACTTGGTGGGGTGGGGGGCGCGCAGGGGCGAAGGTGAGCCGCCAGCACAGGGAGGCTGCGGGCAGCCCGAGGAGCTGGAACGGCCCAGCCCGTGTACCCGGCCTCCCGCCCCCGACTTCGCCTGATAACAAAACAGAAACTGAAACAGGGTCGGGATTCCCGGCGTGAAGTCAGAGATGAGTCACAGCTCAAAGTGACTGCACTAGCGGAGAAGTGGTACCAGACAGGCAGACGTGAGCTGAGGGCAGCAGAGGCAGGCAGGTGAGTGGGAGCTGGGGCGGTGTGGGGGGTGTGGGGGGAGAGGGCGTGGGGGGTGGCCCTTCCCGGCTCGAGGACCTGGGACTGCTGGGCTCGGGAAGCCGGGCGGGATGGCAAGAGGCCAGCTTTGCCTGTTGCTGGGTGGTGTTCATGGCAAACGGGCAGAGGGCACAGGCTGGTGGGGTGGTGACCGAGGACACCTGGAGCCATGGTTGGCCCTTGGGTGATGCTCCCCCTGCCTCCCCTCTCCAGTACGTCTGAGGGTCCCGCTGAAGCATGGCAAGCGGCATCGATGTGGTGGCCATGGACTGCGAGATGGTGGGGCTGGGGCCCGGCCGGCAGAGTGGCTTGGCTCGCTGCAGCCTTGTGGACTTCCATGGCACCGTGCTCTACGACAAGTTCATCCGGCCCGAGGGGGAGATCACTGATTACAGGACCCCAGTCAGTGGGATCACGCCTCGGCTCATGGAGGCGGCCACGCCGTTTGCCGTGGCCCGGCAGGAGGTGAGTGGAGGGCTGTCCGCTGGTCAGGCCAGCGCGGCGGGGAGGCCGCGGCCCGCCCCCCCCCGCCACACATCCACATGCACACTTCCCTGGCACCTTCCCCAGATGCCAAATCTGTGACCTGTGACCCCAGATGTGGCAGATTCCCCCCACCTCTACATGAGGGTGCACTAGGGCATCCCTGCGAAGGCCTCCTGCCCTCAGACAGCCTTAAACTCACACCTGGGGAAACTTCAGGGCATCCGGTCCACCCTGCTGGCCTTGTGATAGGGCAACTGGGTTCCACCTGACGTTCCCCACGGTGGGATTCTTTTCTCTCCCCTGGCTGCCCCTGGTCAGCCCCACGAGGAAATGAGGAAACAGGGCTCTCACTGGCTGGGCCTTTGGTAGGGGTCTCCTGGTCTTGGAGAATAGGCTGGAGCCCCTGGACGGAGGGGAGAGCTTGTGCCCAGACCCATGGTAGGCCTTCCATCAGCTTGAGGTCAGTATGTGGCCCCAAGATTTCCCACCCTCCCGGTTCACCTAGTTGTAATAACTTGTTCAGGTCCCAGTTTCTTTCTAAAGATTTTATTTTATTTATTTGAGAGAGAGAGTGAGAGAGAAAGCACAAGAGGGGGTAGGGTCAGAGGGAGAAGCAGACTCCCCGCTGAGCAAGGAGCCTGATAGGGGCCTCGATCCCAGGACTCTGGGATCATGACCTGAGCCAAAGGCAGTTGCTTAACCAACTGAGCCACCCAGGGGCCCGGTCCCAGTTTCTGTTTCTATTTCTCTGAATCACTAGATGGAAAGCAAAGTCAGCCTCTCTTGCACCAGCTTTAGTCACTTCTGGGAAGATTAGAAGGGCAAGTAAATTCACCAGTTTCTAGGCTGCTTGGGCTTGGGGGAAGTCCCAGAGGAACACAGAGGACCAAGGTTTGGCCCAGGTGCACATGCCACATGCCCGAGATAAACACAAAACATAAGCAACCATAGCTCCTGTTTCCCAAGCACCGGTGGTCTAGAGCTCGCTCACCCCTCACGGGACAACCGCCAGGAGGGTTCTCAGGAGCTGTAAACCCAGAGTTAAGAGGGCCAGTCTTGAATCCTGGCTGGTGACTTAGCAGCTGAGTTACCTTGGGCAAGTTACTTGGGCAGCCTCTCTGTGTACCCAGTTTCCAGCCCCTGAAACAGAAACTGAGTGTAATAATAGTAGCAATTTCATAGGATTATCGTGAGGACTGAGAAAGTGCCTAGAGAGAGTGCCTCTATAAGGACTCGTTAGCTGTTAAATCGTCTGTTATCCCCATATTACAGATGTGCAAACTGAGGCCTGATTGAACTAAGTGTATTGGTTTGCTGGGGCCACCGTAGCGAAGTACCACAGACTGGGGGCTCAAACAACAGAAATTTATTGTCCCACAGTCATGGAGGCTGGAAGTCCGAGCTCAGGGTGTCGGCAGGCTTGCTTCCTTCTGCTGCTGTGCGGGAGAGTCCATGCTGCGTCTCTCTCCCAGCATCTGGGGGTCGGCCGCCAGTCCTGGGTGTGTCTTGGCTTGTAGAAGCGTCAGCTCAACCTCTGCTTTCGTGTTCGCCTGTGTTCTCCTTGTGTGCGTGTTTTATGCCCCTGTTCTCGTTTATAAGGACAGCAGTCCTGTTGTATTAGGGCCCTGATGGCCTCCACAAATTACATCTGCAGTGACCCTATTTCCGAGTAAGTCACATTTTGAGGTACTAGGGGTTAGGATTTCAACGTATGAATTCAACCCATAACACTAAGTGACTCGCAAAGGTTCACATAATGAAAGGTGGTCAGGATTTAGAGCTTAGGCTCAGACCTCTAGGGCTGTGTGTCCAGTAGGGGGCCGCCGAGCCCCAGGTGGCTATGAGCGCCCCAAAAGTGACTGGTCTGAACCGTGATGTGCTGTAAATGTAACATACACATGGGATTGCAAAGACTTGTATTAAAAAATTCATAAAATACCTCAATACTTTTTTATATCACTTACATGTTAAAATGATAGTATTTTGGAATATTAGGTTCAATGAAACATATTAAAACTAAATTCCCCTATTTTTACCTATTTAAATATGGTGATTAGATGATTTAAAATTACACATGTGGCTCACATTGTATGTCTACTGGACAGCACTGTCCTATAGGTACTAAGAGGAGGCCAGGGAGCCCTGAGCTGGGGATGCAGTACATCCGCATGGCTCTGGAAAGACTCCGTGGGGCTGGTGGTATTCACAAGGGGTTTTCGGAGCCTGTGTCTGCAACCCAGTGGGTCACAGAGAGCCATGGAAGATTCTTGAGCAAGAGCATGGCAGGATCAAACCCAAGTTTCGAGAAGACTAGAGTGGGGGGTGCTGTGGAGGATAGATGGTAGTGAGCAAAGAGATGTCAGTAGGGGGCGAGTCAGAACCCCTGGGAAGGCATCAGCAGACAGAGGACTGGGAAGAAAAAAAATGTCAGGATGGAGGTGGCCAAAGTCACCAAGCAAGGGAGGGCAACATAAGGAAGGGTGGGTTGGATGTTCAGGGGTCAACAGGAGGCCCAGGGACATGGCAGGAGCTCCCCACACTCAGCTCCCCACTGAGCAGTCAGGTGGACTACGTGTGTCCATCCTTCGCCGTCCTCCTTTCCCCAGCCCCCCACTGCCTCACTGGCAGAGCGGCAGAAAGGCTGGAGAGCCCAGAGTTGGGGGGAGAGGAGGCAGCAGGGACATGCTGCTCACATTCCCTGGTCTCGACATGCAACCAAGTCCCTGCATGCCTTTGAGCACTGGCCTGGGCATCAGGCTGCCTAGGTCCCCATCCACATTCGGTGCAGAATGCTTCGAATCTCAGCTGAGATTGGGCCAGGCACGAGGCTTCCCGTGTGTAGCTCAGAGCCCTGCCCAGAGAGGAAGCCAAGAATCTAGAGACCAGGCAGACCTTTGAACCACATCTGGGGTTTACATTTCCTGCTCCATCACTCACTGCTTGGCGTGACCTTTGACAAGTTCTCGAACCTTTCTGAACCTGTTCGCTCATCAGTGACAGGGGGTGCTAATGCCTCCTCCCTGGCCTCTGGTAGGTTGCATGCAGTGCCATCACCTGTAGCCCAAAGCACAATGCTGGGCCCGCGACTGATGGTCACTAGCTGTGCCCATGGAGAAAGAAGGGCAGACGCCCACATGATAGGTCTGAGTCCCCTTTCTGACTTCCCTTGAGCACCATGGTCTTAGATTTGGGCTCTCATTTTCTGCCTGAACAGCAGGGATGCTGTGCCAGAGAAACTTTCCCAGGCCTGGCTCAGATCACAGCCTCCCCATACCACTGTTCAAATACCTCCCATGGCTCCCCATTGCCCAAGGTCCCCCAGCACAACACTCGTGGACCTCCAAACCCTACTGACCTGCCTTTCCTGCCTTCCTTCCTAGCTCAGCCACTATCCAGCCACACCCCTACTCTCCCCCAGCCCCCATCCCTGCCCCTGAGTCAGCTACCACGCTGGCAGGCTCAGGCCAGAGGAGTCCTTTGTGATGCCCTCCCCTGCCCTGCCCACCATCCCCACCTCCCCACGTGGGGCCTCTAGTTCTCCTTGCTGTGGCCCCTGTACTTTAAAGCTTGCCTGTCCACACACCTCGTCTGCCTAGTTCCACATGGCTGCGATGTATTTTTTTCTGCCCCCAGACTGGATGGTGTGCTTTGCGCACAGAAGGTACCCTGAGAATGTTTGTGGGATTGGAGTCGAATTGATTTTCACAAAATACAGGAGTTCTGGCAGCTGTGTGGAACAAAATTGCCTCTGCCCTCATGCCGGCCTTGGCTGCCAGGAGGCAGGGATGCACACCCAGCCTGGGGCCGGAGGGCAAGCACACTGTCCTTAGACGTGTGTGGACGTGGGTCTATGGCCTCTGGCTTGTTGCTAAACTTCTCTGTGCCGGTAGGAGCACCCTGTGAGACAGGGTGGGTGAAGCAGTGCAGGGGAATCCAGCACCATGTCCTGGCTCTGTTCTAAGCACTCTCCACACACCACTGCCTTTGCTCCCCACAAGAGTCCTGGGAAGTCATTAACCAGCATCGCTACCCCATTTTACAGATGAGCAAACAGAGGCGCAAGGCTGAGCAAACTGTCCAAGGAAGGCGTAGAGCAGAGACCCAAATTCTGGCTCCAGAATTTGCTCTGGGATATTCAGTCCCATGATCGACATGTATAAATGTGCTCTCGGAATGCTAAGTGTCCAGTGTATGTAAGGGACGGTGTCAGGCCCAGCCTGTGCGTGAAGATGTGGGACAACGCAACAGCAGTCATTTGTTTCCATGAATAAGGACACAGAGGCAGCTCGATCCACTCTATCACCCATAGGTTCTAATCCCAAAGTCAGAGACGGGGCTCACGGGTCCCAAGCTGCGCTGGGGTGGGGGGATCCCAAAGGGAAGAAGCCTATCAGCCATTTATCAGATACCCCCCCCCCCCGGGGCTGGGTGACACCTCTCAGGTGAGTCTAGGGCTCGCCAGGTCTTGGTTTCACTCAGGCAACTTTCAAACGCTGCTCACCAGCCTGTCTTCCTCCAATGGGAGCGGCAAGTGGGCCCTGCTCCTGCTGAGCCATAGACTAGCCCATGGCAGCCAGCAGGGCTCTGGGGAGCCACGAAGCCCCACCCGGCCCACCCAGGAGGGTTGTACGTGGGATCCTGCTACTCCCTTCTCTCTTTATTTTTTTGAAATGTGGTCACATTACTTTTATAGTGGAAAGTTACTGCCTGTTATCTTCTGAAACCTCTAGGTCTGACCATCATCTAGAGCGGTGGTTCCCAATGTGGAGTGATTTTGCCCCCCAAGGGACATTTAGCAGTATCTGGAGACATTTCTGGTTATCATAAGTGGGGCAGGGGGTCTGCTACTGACATCCAGTGGGGAGAAGACAGGGATGGTGCTAAGCCATCCTATAATGCACAGGACAGCCCCTTCCCCGGCCACACAGACACCAAAGAAGTATCAACAGTGTCCAAGTTGAGAAACTGCTCTGTAGAGCCCCACAAATCAGGCTGTCAGCGCAGGAGAGAACCCATGAGGAGACAGGTCCGGAGAGGGGCAGCTTCTTGCTTAAGGACACATAGCAAAGCTGTGATTCAACTCGACGTTCAGATTCAGGGCTCTCACCTGGTGGGTTAATGCGGTTGTTGCTGTTGTTGTTTTTCTAACAGTAATTTTTAATCGGTTATAGTTTATTTTTTGTAAGTTAATGCTCTCTTAATGTTAACCCAGTCTGTTGAATAGCATCTACCCATGACCGGGATTGGGGAGGGATAATTACATTTTTAGTTGGCAAACAAACCAACTGAATCTCATGAAGCCTCCCGGTTTAGGAGGGAAATGCAGCAGAAGGGAGACCTCCTACAGCTGTTTCCAGTATAGCCGCCCTCGCCTGGGCCGAGCGCACTGATGGGGCCCCGCCACTGGGCCGGTATCTCTGGGGCCTGGCCAGTTGGAGGAGGATGACTTCACCATCCAGGGTTCCCCCAGCAGAAGCAGCCTTGTGGGATGCAGGCACAAGCTGGGGTGGGCACCCCTGCAGAGGGGGGCAGGGGACCGGAGGAGGGAGGGGACCGGGGCCGCTCCAGAAGGTGACAGAAGGGCCTGGCCCTCTGGATTTTTAACAAGGGCCCCAGGTGATTTTTCTGATCAGGCACATCTGGGAAATACTTGGAACGAGAGTGGGAATGCAGTGGCGTCAGGCTGTCATCCCCTTTCCGTGTGACACTGGCACACGCCACCGTGTCCCCCTTTCCCCGTCGGTAAGATGGTATGACGATTCCAGCCTCACAGGGGCCCCATTCCTGCTTCAGCAAATCCTCAGAGAGCTGACACGGGTCCATCACCGCTCTTCCCTCTGACATCATTACCGCTGAACTAGGTTCTCAGCAGGGGGTGACAAGGACAACTGTAATGATAGGGACGGGGTCAGGCAGATCCTGCCACCTCGCTGCAGCTCTCAAGTCACCAGCTATGTTCCCTGGGCAAGCCTCTCCACCTCTCTGGCCCCCCGTCCCCTCCCCTGCGGCAGGGAAATCGGAATCCTCGTGCTGAGAGCTGCCCTGAGGGAGGTGAGAAAGTCCCTGGCCCGGGGCCAGCGACGAGAGCAGGTGGGTGAATGTCCCTCCTCCAACCCACTGGGCTCTCTCCAGGAATTTGAGACTCTGCCCCTGTGTCTGACACACCTGCCTCCTGACGCTGACTCAGGGCAGGTCCCGGGGCCAAAGCAGGTCGCACAGCCCTGAGGTCCCGCCCCCGGGCTCCAGCAGGCCCCCCACTTCCCTCCCCAGTCCTGCCTCAGGAAGTCGGTGGAGCCCTGGCTGCGAAGGGGCCACTGGAGCCTGACCTTTCCCGGCCTTCACCATACAGCTGGGGAGCCGAAGCCCAGACGTGGTCTTTGACCTCGGAGAGCACACAGCCAGGCCCTGCAGTCTCTCCCTGCCCCGCGCCCAGCATCCTTGGCCTGCACACTTGCGGGCATCTCTCTGCCAAATAGATTCTTCTCTTTTCCTGGCTTCCTCTTCCTTCTGCTTGTCTTCTCCTCGTATTTTATCTGTCTCATCTTGAGTCCCGTGGTGCTGACTGTAGCCATCCTCCCCCCGCCAGCCCCCAGACCCTCGGGCTCCGGAAGTGATTAAGTTCCCTGGAATCCACCTCCCAGGGACTTGGTCATCTTGCGCCTGCGACCCAGTGGCTGGGACCCAGTGGCTGCCGTTTTGGGATGGCAAACAGTCCCTCGGGGCTCTGTGTGAACTGGGCCCCGAGCCAGCTCCTCATTGGGGGAAAACAGGCCACATTGTTCGGGAATGTTAAAGGATGTCTGCAAGAAAGGGCGCGTGACCCCCGGCCGCCAGCGCGGCCCTAGGGCTGGCCACTGCGCTCTCCTCCACACGCAGACCTTGAGCTGCTGCTGAGGCCGTGTGCTCTCGCCACTCACGTGAGCCCTGGATCAGCAGCGGCGGCACCAGCTGTCGAAATGCGAAATCGGAGTCCTGGATGTCTGGAGCTTCACCGGGTGACGCCTCAGCCCAAGCGTGAGCAGCCCTGGTGTCCATCCTACCGGCCCAGCTCCAGTCCTCAAGCGAGCCTCCCCAGTCCCTAGGCTGACTGTGGGCTCTGTGCAGCGGTGGCCCTGACAAACCGACAAAACCACGGGAATGGGGAAGGGGTGATGGGCAGGCTGGTGACACTGCCTGCTGACAGGAGAAGGACAGACCCCACGGACAAGTCGCCTCGTGCCTCTGAGCCTTGGCTTCCCCTTCTGTAGAGTGGCCACAGGGATCCTGTGGTGGCCAAGGGAGAGCATGCAGTGCCCCACGTGATGTCCCAGGAGGCCACTAGAAGCAGAAGCGGGGTACAGGAGGGTGTTAGCCCTGTAAGAAGTCTCCCCCAGGCACAGAAGGGCAGAAGCTATTGGAGAGCTGTCCAAAGGGGGGCCTGAGCCCCAAGCTGCCCCTCCAGCTCTGCCCGAGATCCCCCCTCCCATCCTCTCTGATGGCAGCCAAGGTAAAGAGGGGAGTGGCCCATGTGGCTTGAGGTAGGAGGTTGTCCACAGGGCCACCATGGGAAAGGAGTCAGAATAGAGGCAAGATGGCAGGCTTGGGCACGTGTGAGGGTACTTCAGGGGTTGCTCCCCAAAGCTCAGCTGTGTGGCTGGTGGGGGCCTGGAGCAGCCTCTCTGGGAGTGTGGTGGAGACGAGCAGCCTGCTGGCTTTGAAGGCTGGCTCTAGCACTGAGTCATTAACTAGCTGTGTGACTGTCCCAGTGATCTAACGGTGCTTCGCAAATCACCTCCAAACAGAGTGGCTCGAACAAAGGTCAATATTTACTTCGCTCGTGCATCTGCAATTTGGACAGGGCTTGGCCGATGGGGCCAGCTGGGAGGCTTAGGTGTCCCACAGTACCAGAGCCGGAATCGTCGGAGGTTCGCTTGCCCACCCATCCGGTGGCTGGTGCCGGGGCCCCTCGGGCATGGCTCTCTGCTTCCCTGTGGTCACTCCAGCAGGTGGCTTCGGGGTAGCTCAGGGCTGCTGGGGGACTGGCCCCCAGAGAAGTCAGAAGTCACACAGGCTGGCCCATATTCATTTGAGGCAAGGGGGATTGAGCTCCGTCTTTGGAGAGCAGAGGTGCCAAGGGATCCGCAAACTTGCTTTAAAATCCGCAAATTATTTCCCTTTCTTGGTGCTTCAGTTTTTCTCCTCTGCAAAATGTCAGTCAAATACAGGCCTCTCTCATCGCTGTGTTAGCTTTTTATAGTTCTGTAACAAAGCGTAAGCTGAGTGGCGTGTGTTAGCTCGCCGTTCCACAGTTCAGAAGTCTGGCACGGGTCTCAATGGGCGAAATCAAGGTGTGGGCCTGGCTGCGTTCCTTTCTGGAAGCTCTGCGGGAGGGTGCGTTTCCTTGCCTTTTCCAGCTTCTGGAGGCCTCCGTGTCCTGGACGCCTGGCCCCTTCCTCCCTTGTCAAGGCCAGCAGCTGCATGTCAAGTCCTCAGGGCAAATCACTGACGTCCACATATAAGGGCCCTTGTGATTATTTTGGGCCACACGGGTAATCCAGGTGATCTCCCTTATTGGGAGGTTGTCTTCTACCTGAAGCCCATCCGCAACTTTAACTCCCTTCTGCCAGGCAACGCGTCTGCATCTTTGGGAGGTCATTATTGTGCCTGCCACAGTAGGGTTGTTGAAAGGATTAGATGACATACTTAGCCTGGCACATGGGCCGTGCTCAGCAGCGGCCACTGCTATTACACGTGGAAGCCACTGAAGGAGTTGGAGACACGCCTTTGGCATGGACCTCAACTACTGAGCGTGAGGAGGGGCCGGGTCCAGTCTCCTCATTTTATAGAGGATAGGTTGGAAGCCCAGAGAGGGGGGACAGTTTGCTCACAGTCACACAGCAAGCCAAGGAGGGGCTGCTTCCTACCAGTTGCCCCAGATCCATGCAGAGGACCCTGCGTGAGGCATGGGCTGTGTGTCTTCCCGGCCAGATCCTGCAGCTCCTGAGAGGCAAGCTGGTGGTGGGTCACGACCTGAAGCATGACTTCCAGGCGCTGAAAGAGAACATGAGCAACTACACCATCTACGACACATCCACCGACAGGCTGCTGTGGCGAGAAGCCAACCTGCTATCCTGCAAGCGGGTCTCCCTCCGGGTGCTCAGTGAGCGTCTCCTCGGGCGGCACATCCAGGTGAGCAACCCCCTGCCTTCCCGGGCTCCGGGGGGCCCCCCATCCCCCAGGGTCTCCAGAACCCCCACATTTGGCCCCAAAGATGCTCTGCCCACCACCTGCCCCCCGGCCAAAGTCCTGAGCAGCCGTGGGCTCGTGAGCAAGGAGGGGTGCTGGCTTCGGGCTTCCCTGGCCCCCGGCCCCAGACAAGCACCAGGGTGCGGGAGGTTTATTCAAGAGGTGACCCCAGGATGCACTGGGAGAGCGATGATGTGAGGCAGGGAAGGGAAGGCGCCCAATAAAGGTTTTGTTCATGTGCTTTTAAACTCAAGCCAGTTGCCCCGGGATAACTGAAGCTTAACTCCACTGCAGGCCTCTGGGAAATCCCACAGACCTCAGATTTATGCAGGGAGCAGAGGTATTGACAGCTCCCATCAGGCACAGCTACTGCTGCTCCCGGGGCCCCCCACTCCTCAGCACCTCCAGGCGAAGGTGCCTGGGTGCTGGTGCTTGGGAGGTCACTGAGCTGGCAGGGCCCAGGGCGGTGGGCCAGACACTAACAGTCACAGCTCCACGTGGGGGCCTTCCCGGTCAACAGCCATTTATCAGCACCTACTCTGGGCCAGGCTGGACGGGGTACTGGAGACGCACGGCTCGGCAGGGCTGGACCCTGTGCTTGAGCAACTCTTGGTGGATGGGTGGGCGGGGAGGAGGGCAGGTGTGCAGTGGTCCAAAGGGTGAGTCTTCGGGGAGGGGGGAGCAGGAGCCCCAGCCTGAGGTGTGAGGCACGCTTGGCCGGGCGACCGGGGATTGTGTAGGTCGCAGGGAAGGGACCTGAATTTGGGCCCCTCTGTTAGCCTTGTGGCACACAGGACCAAGGACAGAGTGGTCAGCACACGGATTCACTGAGGTAGCACTTTAGAAACATCGTTTTGACCTATTTTTTATATGGGCCTGGTGCCCTGGGGCTCCCTAAGTGTCTGACAGCAAGTCTGCAGCACCCCCTCCCCCCACCGGCTGATTAGCACCTGGAGGGCACAGCCCGGCTCTCCCACTGACCCACATCTGGGCCCTGGAACCTGGGGTGTGAGCGGGGAAGGCCCGGGTCACACGGGCTCTCTGCCTTCACCCCCAGCCCACACCCCTGCCTGTACCTATGTCTACAGAACAGCCGCTTCGGACACAGCTCGGTGGAAGATGCCAGGGCGACCATGGAACTCTACCGGATCTCCCAGCGCATTCGAGCTCGCTGAGGGCCCGCCTGGTGGAGCGGGACTGGAGCTCCGTCTTTGTCCTGAAGTCTTCGGCTCTTCAAGACAGCAACCCCCTTGCTTTTAGAAAATGCGTCTTTCGCAGTAAAATAGCTCTATTTTTTTTCTACTCCATCATTGGATACTCCTCTTGCCTTTTTCTGAGCCGGGTAAGGGTGATGGGCCCAAGTCCGTGTGGCGCTTAGAAGACCATCAAGACTGAGCTGGAACGGGGTGGGGGTGGGGTGCGTGGCGGGGGCGGGGGGTGTCGGTTTCCTGAATAATCTTGAATCCTGTGTATCCAAGAAGCAGCTGGAGGAATCTAGGTGGCATGTAACTAAAGCCTTGCCCCTGCCTCCCTTTACCTGTTGCATTTATGCCCAGGGCAGTGGCACAGAGGCTCAGAGGTCCATCCGTGCCATCTTGAAATGGGTGCCACGGCTGTGGCACGGAGGCACGGAGAATGTGGTGACCTTCAGCAAGTCATTCCTCCTCTTGTAAAATGAGGAAGCAAAGGTAGTGGATTTTGAAGTCAGAACTAAGTTGTGGAGTCTTGGTTCTGCCATTTAGTAGCTAGAGTTGAGTTACTTAACTTCCCCGTGCCTCAGTTTCTCCATGTGTAAAATGGGAAATTCTTTTCTTTTTAAAGATTTTATTTATTTGACAGAGCACAAGCAGGGGGAGCACCAGAGGGAGAGGGAGAAGCAGGCTCTCCCCTGAGCAGGGAGCCCAACATGGGGCTCCATCCCAGGACCCTGGGATCATGACCTGAGCCAAAGGCAGACGCTTAACTGACCGAGCCACCCAGGCATCCCCTAAAATGGGGAATTCTAACAATTGATAGGGTTCTTGTGCAATGTTGCACACAAAGCCCCTAGCACCATGCCTGTCAGAGCTTAAACACCCAGCAAGCGTCAGTAACGGGTGGTTACTGTCTGCATCACTCTGATCTAGGAGACCCCGGGGAGAGCAGCTACACTCTGCCACGGGGGCCGGACCTCTGAAGGAAGGGCATGCGTAGCGTGTGGGGAGAAGAGTCCACATCAAAACAGTAACTGCTCATTGGAATCAGCTGTAGTCATTATTTTAATCTGTGCCCGGGTGCCTCTAAACCAGAATTAGTGTGTGTGTGTGTGTGTGTGTGTGTGTGTGTGTGTGTGTGTGTGTCAGGGGTTGGGGGGGCAGCTGATTCTGATCAGGACCTCCACAGGTGATTACGATGCCCAGGACATTTGAATCACCCGAGATGCTTTTTAGGCAACCCCGGTCCCTAAGCACAGCGTTCTCACACAGGACGGAGCATCGACATCACCTGGAGGGTGCTGGACCCCAACCCCAGAATTGCCAACTCAGCAGGTCTGGGGTGGAGCCCCAGAATCTGCATTTCTCACAAGTTCCCCGTTGATTCTGCCGCTGCTGGTCCGGGACCATGCTTTGAGAGCCACAGTGAAGCATCAGCTGATTGTCATGTGCGGCCACGGTTGAGAGCCACCGGCTTGGGGTCTGAGTACCACCAGGGTAGACTCCTGCTGCCGGCCCGGCCTTGCCCCCTGCCGTCTCCCCCAGCCGCCTGCTCATGCAGAGAGAGGTCCACAGCCCTGAAAAACGTGTCCTAAATAGCCGCACTACATGGATGAGGGACTTGAGATGAAGTTAAGGGATTCAAATCCAGGCCCCCCCGACCCCAAACTCGAGAGCTGTTCACCCAGAGTGCATTATAGTGGCAGTGCCTCCCGTTTGCACACTGACCTCTGGGAACCCGGGGGGCTCCCTCCCTCACACGTCTGCGAGAGCAGGGAGGTGCAGCTTGCTCCCTCACGGTTCTCTCCTGCCCCACGGCCCAGCCGACTTCAGGGCTGTGGCCGGGCCCTCTGCGGCTGCCTTGCCTGGCTGAGACTGGCCACCAGGCGGTGCCCTTGGGCCGTCTGCAGTCCCGGGGCCGCCAAGGCCAAAGCAGCCCAGGGAACACTTGGGAGGCATGAGGTGTGAGGGGCTGTGACTTTAAAAATGGCTAGGGGCTGTAGCAGGGACCCTGTAGGCCCCCCTCCCTCAGCCACTGAGCTAGAGTGAGTTACAGCCGGGCCTGGAAAGTGAGCCCCAGCTCTCTCGGACTCCCAGGCCGAGGTCTTTTCCACCTTGAAAGGAGGGGTGAACTGGGGTTCCCCAAGGAAGTCTCTAACCCAGCTTCCCGCTTCTGGCTGTGGTGCTTGGATGCCCCCAGTGGGGAGGCACCCACCCTGCCTCCCAGGGGGGCACTGAGGGTCAGGACCTGGGGGGGGGCACGTGCCGTGGGCCCTGGCCCCACTCGCAAGACCCCCCACCTTCTGTGTAGCCAGTAGAGAGCACCAGCTTCAGAGTCAGGCTGACTTGGCTTGTGTGTCTCACCTCTGAGAGAGCAGGTGACCCATCCATCAGGTGGGGGGAGAAGAGGCTGGAGATCTCATACGCACGGTGCCCAGCCCCAGCTGGTGGGGGATAGGGACCCATGAATGGCCCCTGGCACCACTGATCATAATCAAAATAAAGGCCTGCCTCTGGCCTGCGCCGCGGGACTCCCGACCCCCCTGGGTCCCAGCACAACCGGAGTCGTGGCCTGCAAGTGGTGGTGTCATTGGCTGAGGGTGTAAAGCGTGGAGGAGAGGAAGGTGATGTCTGCTGGGACGGACAAGTCCTGTCGTCCACAGAAGACCCGCACCCAGCGGCCCAGACCTGGTGAATGCCCAGGAGCCCCGCTCCTACCCAGGGGCTAGACTCGGCCTTGCACAACTTCCGCCTCAGTCTCCTCATCTCTAAAATGGGACTATTAGCCCCAACTCCCACAGCTCTCGTGGGAGCAGATGGGGCCAGGGAAGCGAAACTGCCCTGCAATCTGCCCCAGCCTATACAGGCTGCAGGTGGAATCTCCTTGCCCAGGGAGCACACTCCCTCCTGCTCTCCAGCCCTGGCAAGGGCAGGTCGGGCTCCACCCCAGGCACATAGGGAGAGGGCCGAGCTGGGCTCCGCATAGCCTTGTCTTCTGCTCTCTCCTTCCTGAGCCCTTTAGCTGCCCCACTTTGCTCCCCTGGTTAATTTCTAATCTCCAACCCCCCCAACCCTGCCCCACCATCCTGCAGACCCACTCCTGCTGGCATTGTCCCCTGCACCGCCCTCCTGGACCGGGGGCCAGGGGGTGCGCTTCCTCACTTGGTCCCTTCTATCTCAGTTCACAGTGCACCTGCCCCGGGTGCCCTTCCCAGACCCTAAATACCCTGGGGGACTATCTCTGCTCCAGGGCAGAAAGGCCAGGAGAGTAACTCTGCTGTCCTGGGTGGGAAGACCCAGTCCCTGAGACCACGATGGGTCCTGGCATAATGGCAGCCCGAGGAGAGCAGAGGAGGTGCCTGCAGTGGGGGTTTCTAGCAGCTGAAAGCTCTATCTGGCTCATGACATGTGGTCTCACCTGAGCCCATGGGAAGGTCCTGCCGCCTCCTCCTGCTGCAGGTGGGCCTACAGGGTGAGCCTAGAGAAGAAGAAGGGCCTGGGCAGGGCCTCCTCTAAGGGGCCAGTGCAGGAAATAAAGGAGTGACTGGGGCCTGATGTGCCGTGCAGAACTGGGAATGCGTGCCCAGCTGGACGGGGCAGGTGCCACTCAGCCTCAGCCGATTGTGGCCGTGCAGAAATGCTGCCCAGTGGAAACCCCTTCAGGCCTGTGTCTGGCCCGTGGGCCACCAGTTTGAGACCTGAGCTTTAGTCCACCTCCCACCTGACTCCTTTCAACCAGGGGCCTGGATATGTCGCAAGACAGAGACTTCACTGTCTTGAAAGCACTCCTCGGTGGGGTGGGGCCCCTGATTTAGAAGTGCAGGGCTTGCCCCGCTGAGGCTCCCACCCAGGATAAATGCAATTCCACTTGTACGTCGTAAACTGTCACCCACCTTTAGATCATTTTCATGTCTCTCACCTCTACCCCGAGTCTTTGACTTTCCAGGTTAGATGCCCCCAATTTCTTCAGCGGTTTCCCCTTCTGTGGAGCCCCTCCCATTTCTCCTCTGTCCACCCCGCCCCAGCCCACCCACCCCCCGGCCTGCCTATCCCTTCTCAGCCCACTCCCCTCCAGCCCCGTTCTCAGCGGATTCTTAGATGGGGACAAGGTGGAAAGGAAACCAGGACTCCACTGGGACAAGGGAATGAGTGGCATCCTCCAGCCCAGGGCTGGCTTTGGAAAGATCCGGCAGAATGAAGGGAAGCACTGAGGATGGGGTCACTTTTTGCCACCTAACCCCGAGGCATGGAGGAGAATTTGGAGGTGGCTGGGAAGGGCCGTCTTGGAATGGCCCCACTTCACTGAGCATACCTGAGTCACCTCTGACTCAGGCCCATTTGCTGCGGGAGTGAGGGGATTGGAGAGCTCTCTAGCCCCCCTCAAACCCCTTGGCCTCCCTGCCCTCCTTCGCCCAACCCGGCCTGGCCTGAGTGGAGGAAAGTGCTTCTATTCAGGGAATGAGTTCTCTGGCCTGGCCGGCTAACTGTCTTCGGGCACTTGCCCAGGCCCTGCTCCCCACCAAAGGCCCCGTCCAAAGGCCCGCTGTCTTGGAGGGTCAGGAGCCAGCCCGGGTCTGGTTCCAGGAGCGGTAAGAAGGCTGCCCACTTCCTGCCCGGCGTGCTGCGGGCTGGGCTGGGCTCTGCCGCCAAGAGGCTTACTCACTTGTGGAACAATTTCTCCTCTATATGGAAAGAACATATGCTTTTCCTGCTGGGGGAAGAGAGGGTTTGGAGTAGCTTTGCCGAGACGTGTAGGAAAAGGCAAATGTTGGCCCGGCCCCAGCACCCTGATTTCGAGCCATGTGCTGTGTGTTCGGTGGCAGAGCCCGTTGGCCTCTGTCCCCAGGTGCAAGGGGAGGAGGCCCAGGGGATGCTGGTCGGGACCTCGGTTTTAGGACACTGAGCTAGTCCCTTGCTCAGGGCTGGATGTCCTCATCTCTTCATTTTTCCTGTTCTGTCCTCCATGGTTTAGGGCTCAGGCA